GAAGTCATCGGGATTTACGACTGCCTTCAGATAAACTCGACACTTCTGGTAAAGCCCAATTAGCTGCAGTTCTCAAAGGGGCTGCGTATGTTCTCTCACCTCTGAGCAACTGAACATGCTAATCCCTCCACCTGGAACGGCTTCTTTTTCTTTTGGCCTTGAAAACCGGTATCCACTCTTCAAGGCTCAAACATTACAACCTTTGTGAAAACTTCAAAATGTCCTGACCTCAGGCTCTCAGAGTATATAGTAAGCCATCAATAAATGTTTTTCAATGAAAAACGAAGGCTTCAAAAGCAATTAAGTTATAATCAAGAGCTGAAATAAGATTAAATTCTAAGACAATCAAATGTACAGTATCACAGATATAGGAAAAATCGCCCTTAAGACAGAAATGTCTGAGTGAAGAACACCCTAGAGAGAAGTACTTAAACACAGTAGTTTAGAGGATGAGTTTTGGGATCCTAAACCCCAGCTCGACCACTTACTAGCTGCGTGACCTTGTGATTCAGTTTAAAATGAAAATAACAACAGTACCAACCCTCGCAAGGCTGCTCTAAGAATTAAACGAGTTAACACACATACAGCATTTAGAATAGTGCCTGGTAAATAATACATGGGTACTTACTAGCAGTTCCTTTTAATAATGAAAAAAATTGTCCTCATAGATTGTGAAGCAGTATTAGGAAAGAGTGCAAATTCAGTGATAAGATAACAAGCAGCAACATCAGTTCAAATAAACAAAAGGAAACTGCAAAGAAACAGAGATAGGGCATCCGCCACGGACGGCAAGTCCTAATAGTACTGCCTGCAGTGGAAATACCTGCAGAAAGAACCCTCAAGACCTTATAGTAAATAAGAAACGCAAACAGATACGCCTGATGTCATTCTTTGCAGCAGGATACCGAGGGCGATGTGGGAGTTCATAAACAAGGAACAGTTAAGTGCAGGATGAACAGGGAAATGAACTGACACGAGAATGGAACACAAGTCCCTCAGGGAGACAAACGCTGTCAACTCATCAGGGAGAACGGGGTGGTGATTAAATTCTACTCCCAACGCCTTAATTTACTTAGACAGATCTCAACTTACTTAGCACAACAAAATACAATACAAATACAGAACGTGGAGTCCTAAGAGCTGCGGGCTAGTGGTGGGTTTGCAACTCCAAGCATGTGCTCTTCAGTGGGACTTGCTGACTCTGAGTTTCCTTATCTGCAAGGGGAGGATAACAGGTTTTCTACTAAACTCAAAGAGCTGTGAAGGGAACCAAATGGGATTATATAAGTGAAAGTACTCTTTAAAGATTTAATACTCCATGTATTAATGTTAAAATCTTTTCAATCAGCTGCACAGCTTGATTGGACAGCTAGCTGAACTACAGTTCACAGGAAAATGACTTACAAACTTTAGTTTAACAGAAGTTTAAGATGGTCCTAAAAATGACGTGGCTGCTGAAGAACAGACACGATCTCTGACCACATGGCGAGTGTGAGCAGCCCCACAACGCACAGCAGACCCACTGTGTCCCACCTTAAACACCCTCCCAGAGCACTGTGTTCAGCATTAAGTGCTCTGTTTTCAGAGAGACTGGAAATGTGTTTAGGGCGGACAATAACAGGGACAACAAAGGTCTCCTCCAATGAAGACCAGTTAAAAGAGCTGGAATACTAGAAAAAAGAGGACAAGGGGTGAGCAATCGCGCTCTTTAAACGGCTAAACGACGTCCTCCACGTTGTCCTAGAGGACACACCAAGAGCAGTGGTGGGCACTGTGGAGACAGAGACGTCCGTCCGCTCACTAAGGAGAACTCTGGAGCAACAAGCAAGAGTATTCTGCGACAGGACTGGGCCGCTTTCTGAAGCAACGGGTGTCTAGTCCCCGATGTTCAAAAGCAGAAGCTAAATGTGCATGAGGCAGGGACACTACTTTGGGTACACTCGGGTTACATTTAACAGAGGGCTCAGGGCAGGGACACGACTTTGGGTACACTCGGGTTACATTTAACAGAGGGCTCAGGGC